CACTACTATTTTTTAATCACACTTTTTAAATAAGTGTGATTATTTATATATTTTTTAATCACACTTTTTTAATTAAAGTGTGATTATATATACACTACTACTTTTTAATCACACTTTTTAAACAAGTGTGATTATTTATATATTTTTTAATCACACCTTTTAATTAAAGTGTGATTATATATACACTACTACTTTTTAATCACACTTTTTAAGTAAGTGTGATTATATATATATTTTTTAATCACACCTTCTAAATAAAGTGTGATTATATATACACTACTACTTTTTAATCACACTTTTTAAGTAAGTGTGATTATATATATATTTTTTAATCACACCTTCTAAATAAAGTGTGATTATATATACACTACTACTTTTTAATCACACTTTTTAAGTAAGTGTGATTATATATATATTTTTTAATCACACCTTCTAAATAAAGTGTGATTATATATACACTACTACTTTTTAATCACACTTTTTAAGTAAGTGTGATTATATATATATTTTTTAATCACACATTCTAATTAAAGTATGATTATATCACTATTACAAAAATAGTTAAAGATCACACTTTGATAAATGAAAATATCTCACTTTTATTAGAAGTGTGATAAAAAAAATTATATTGATATTTTAATCACACTTAATTTAATTGAGTGCGATAATATTTATTTTTTATGTCACTTTTTAATTATATATATATATATATATATTTTAACCCACTACAACAAAACTGAGTTTTTACGGCTTCACATCAACGACATACAGTAAATGCAAGCCGTGGTTTCTCACTTTTACGGCTTTTTTTTTTGCATGTCGTAAATAATTTTTCAACCACGACATGTCTATTGTGTAGGTCGTGAATACTAATAACAATGACTTTTTTAAGGCATGCAATGTTAGCTGTAAATAATAAAACTTTTATAACATGCATATGGCATGCCGTTAATAAATTAATTATAAAAATATTGAACATTTCACGACGCACAAAAAGTCTGTCGTTAAAAATTACACTTTCCACGACGTACAAAAGCCAGCCGTTTAAAATATTATGCTTTCCACGACACGCAATTGCTGTCGTGAAAGGTATGACCAGGAAAATAATAATAATAATAATACAAAAATGTTTCAGGCCCCATTTTCCCCACCCCCTTTGACCCCCTCTCTCTATCTCATTGGTTACATTTTTTTTTCCTGCTCCTCCAATCACCATCCGCCACGTGTGTATGGAGTGATAGAGGTGGTGATTGGAAGAGGTCTCTATCATGGCTCATAATAATAATAGAATAAAGGTTGCGACCCCCTTTGGGGGTCACCCCCTTGACCCCTTTAGTTTTGATTGGTTAACTTTTCCTTTTTTTTTCTTTTTTCTTCTCACCCAATCCCCAACCTCCATATGTGTGAGGAATTGTGGGGTGAGTGTTCTAAAGGGGTCTAAATCAATGCCCATAATGCCAAAATAAAAATTTCGAGCGCTAAAATGAAAAATTTAGCGGCAAATTAACCCCCCCCAAAAAAATAAAAAATCCAAAACAACACTAGCACCATCAAAATTAAAAGAAATAAAAATGAAGAGACACATATGGAGAATAGCATAACCATTTTCTCCATCATCGACTGAAGTTCGTCGGCGACCAGTGCTTCCGTCGGCTACTATTACTTCCATCGGCCTCCTTTTTTTCCATTGTCAGGTATGTAATTACATCATTCTTTGTATCGCAGTGCCTCTTCTAAGTCCTCTTTGTCCAAATTTGAGGTAATTCGTGATGAGGCATCAGGAAATTGAAGCCAATGCCTCAACACTTTGAAGCTATTTTCTGAATCTTTGAAACTATTTTCTAAATCTTTGAAGCTTTTTTTTTTTGGGTAAATGAATCTTTGAAGCTATCTAATATCTATCTATGTTTTTCTCGCATAGCCCTAAAGTTGTTCAACATCAATCGGTTTAGGGTAAATAGAAGTTGCGACTTTTATTCTTGAACAGAGCTTCGATTCTTCTTCTTCTTCAACATAGCTTCGACTTGCAGCCCTAACAGGTTAGTTTCGACGTGTCTTCTTCTTCTTCTTCTTCTTCTTCTTCTTCTTCTTCTTTAACATTGCTACAAAGTTTGGCTTTCATTTTTTATTTATTTATTATTATTTTCATTATTGAGTTCAAGCATGTGTTGTTGATGAATTTCACTTATCTTTCTTCATTTTTTTAGTTTTATTTATTAATCTAACATTGTGGTATGAATTACTTTTGAAAAATTTAGTCAAATTTGTTAAGTTGATCCTAATCCTACTGGATGAATCAGTATTGAAACTGAAGCTGGTGATCTATTCTACCAGTTTTTTTTTTCCTTGCAGGTTACATACACTAGTATCATTCATTGGATTCTCATCCTGATGTTTTATAGTCATTATATTCTCCCCTTCTGCCATCAAGTTCTTTGGAAGGGCTGAGGTAGTGATATATTATTCAACCTATATTCTCAATTTTTGTGATACAATTTTAGCTTTCTGAGTGTCTTTTAATTTTCTTGTTTTTCTATAAAGATTGACATCAATGTTATAAGATTATAATTTAGTTGAACATGTCATGAACATATTCTATTATGTTCATTTCACAATGTTAGTCCCTCTAGGAATTCCAACTTTTTAAGGGGACTTGTAATTCAAATTCAAATTACAAAGGCATTAATTTACAAAAATTTCCCTTTATTCCTACTTTTCAATAGTTATAAGACTGTTTTGAAAAATTAGAAAGATTTATGTTGAATTTTCAAAGAGGACTATATTTTGGACATCGTAAATTGGAAATAAGAATTAACAATATAGGATAGAGGGAGTAATTATTAACGCATTTTATTTTTTGGCTGATAGTTTACATTAGTGCAATTAGCTGCTCAGATTCGACCACACCTCAGAGGCACTACTTCTTACTCCTTGGTTGGATCATGGAAGTTTGCATGATGAAATTGTTTCTGACATCTCCTTGTAAAGATTCAATAAGTTAAATTAAAGATCATTTTTTTTTTGTTTTTTTTTGTTTGTTGTTATTGTTTTGGGTTAGTAATCTGATTTTTTGAAAATTTAGTTACTATTCTGAAATCATAGGAAATGGTTACAAAAGGCTTCACTATGAACTAGGTGCGTGTGCTCTATGTGCTGACTTGAAATCCAAACAAATCTTAAGAATTTACTTGGGGCTTTTGTAGGCAATAGTTAAACCAAATATTGGAATCCAACATTTCAATTTATTTCTCCACTTTAAACTTCAGATATTTAAAATCTAAATTCTTTTTGGATTTTTCTCAAAATACAACTCTTTTTGGTTTTCCTTTGGGATCTTTGTATGTTTACTTAGATTGGATATTCAAAGGCAACACAAACTTTTTCTAAAAAATTGAAAGAGTTAACCCAATCAAATACATTTTTAAGTATGCAAAAGGAATGATGCAACTTTTAGCAACTTTTTTTATTTTTATTTTTAGTGTGATGAGATCAATTATTTATGTGATGAGATCAACTCTTAGTTAGATGATATATAACTGATTTTTTATGTGATGAGGTAAATTTTGTAAGCACGTTTTGCTTCTCAAATAACTTTTTACCATCCAACCCCAAAATGGAAACACAAATCAAATCTGAATAAACATCATGCTGTATGTACATTTTGGAGTGCATGAATAACCGTATTTTTAGTTGAAAAGGTAATTGATGGCGTCTTTGTTTACTTCAACATTCTCAGGCTTGCAAAAAAATGTCTAAGAACCTTGCTTAGATGCAGACTATACAAGAACAGGTTTGCTTACATAATAGCCATCTCCTTGTGCTTGCATGGGTTTGTCTTAGAGACTTACTTAGAATTTTTGCTTTGTTTGGCAAGTCCATGATATTAAATTTGTGTTACAAAATATGGGGGGGTTTTCTTTTATGCCCTAAAATCTAACCTTCTTTTAACAATATTATTTATTATATGTTTATATCCATATGAGAAATTCCTGGAAGCTTTGTTTTTATTTGATCCAACATTCTTTACATGGGATAGACTGGAATGTTCATTTTATTTAATCAGGTTTACCTCCAGAGGTTATCCTTGCACTAACTCTTTGTGATGACCTATTTCAACCAGGCATGCAAGTAATTGCTTCTACCAAGATGGGTTAATCTAAAGTTGCATTGGCACCTTTAATAGGTGAATTCTACCAAAGCGATCGAAAAATTTGTTAAGGTTCTAAAAGTTAAGCAGAGTGATGAAGAAATGATAGATAAGTCGCTTGAGGCTAAGCTTGTTGAACGGCAAGGAAAAGGCACTTTCTCTTTACTTGGAGAGTTCATGTTCTTACAATTTATCCTAAACCTGAAATTAGAAAATGTTCATCTCAATGGAACAATTGGATGAAATAAGAAAGCAGTTAGAAAAGGAAAGAGATTTTGGGTTGAATGAATTTTGTTTGATATTGGATTGAATGTTTATAAACAAAAACTGATTGTTCTAAAAAAAAGAAAAGAAAAAAAAGAGAGATTTGGCGACTAAAAAATTGGTCGGCAATTCCTTACCTTTGGCGACTAAATTGTTAGTCGGCGATTCCTTGACTTTTGGCGACTAATCTGTTTGGTCGTGGAATGTGACAATTGGCGACTAAGATATTTGGTCGGAAAAATATCACTTTTCGCGACCAAAGTGTTTTAGCAACAAAATGGATTAGTCGCAGTAATGATATATTTAGTGACCAAAAATTTAGTCGGCAAATCCAACTTTTTCCGACCAACAAAAATTTTGGTCGCGAATTACTATTGCCGACCCTCAATTGGCGACCAAAGTAGCAACCAAAAAAATTGGTCGTGGATAACTTTTGCTGACTAAAAATGGGCTTTTAGCGACCAATTTTTTGGTCGGCAAAAGTGTTATTTCTTGTAGTGTTGTATTGTATGTTGTAGTGTGTGGGGATAGGATTGGCTGAGTGTGTCAATTTAAACAAACAAGGATTTGTGTATTTATTAAAATAATCATGGGACTAGTTGGCCTATATGTTTTGATTTTAGGATTTATGGATCAAAGTCTCATTTTATTTTGCCTTTTAGTGTTCTTTTAAGTAAACTACACTTTGCATTCATGTACTTTGCACCAAATCTCACTTTGGCCCCTATACATGAAATCATGACAATTAATCCCCTGCATTTCTGGTCAAATCCCATTTTGATCTCTCTACATGAAATCATGACAGTCAACCCTCTGCACTTTACTGAAATCCTACTTTGGTTCCTATATAAGTGTCAATGTCCCTCTTTTGTAACTTCATTTTTAAATCTTTAACAAAATCCAATCATGTGACAAAGAAATGAGCGTAAGAGAGGAAAATTATCCATGTTTCTCACCAATACACTTTGTTCTATGTGATAAACACATGAGAGTTATATAATACAATATATATATATATATATATATATATATATATGTTTGTATGGTAAAAATTGAGATGAAAAGGTAAGAAAAGACAAGAAAGTAGAGTCTTTAAAATAAAAAAAAATGCGACAAAGAAATCAAATAGAAAGAAAGATGAATAAATAGAAGACCATGTTACTGTGAAAAAAAAAGTTTCATGATTCCAATTTATGCAAAATCCTAGTTCATCTTCATAATTATTCACAATCTGCATTTTGTTTTAGCCTAATACAATCATATTTTGATATAAATTTTGGGATATAGTGTGTACTAGTGGAAAATGTATATGATTTTCCTTTCATACTTTAATGTTGTAGTGACATTCTTATTACATGACTAAATTCTGTTAAAGATTTAAACAATTGAGTAACAGAAAGGGGACATTAACACCTCTGTAGGGACCAAAGTAAGATTTTACCAAAAGTACAGGAGGTTGACTGTCACAATTTCATGTACAGGGACCAAAGTGAGATTTGACCAGAAGTACTAGGGTTGACTGTCATAATTTCATGTGTAGGGGGTCAAAATGAGATTTGGTGCAATGTGCAATTTACCCTTCTTTCAATCATATCAATTTTACAACTAAATTATTTGATTTTGGATTAATTTCACCTTTACCGTCAGTTGCTATCCATAATCAAACGAAACTTCTTGATATGACATTGAAATTTCATTTTACCACCTAAATTATTCCTAAATGTCAATTAGACTCTTGAATATATTTAAGAAATCATATTAACATATATTTTTTTTATCTTGAAAGGTCAAAAAAAAGAAATTTTAAATTAAAATGAAAGCATTTAAAAAATTATAAAATGCGTCATTTGAAATTGTCAGTTGAAGTCTCAAATTATCTTGATCCGGTCTTGCAAAACTAATTAAGCTCAAAATTCTTGGTCGGTTTTCTCTTTCTCTCTCTCTCTTGGAAATTGTAGTAAGCCTATTCCTCAAATTAATTTCAACAAAACTGATCGGATAGTAATAGATTGAAAATTATGTGGATAAAAATTTAGACCACATTTGTTTTGAAATAATTTTTTTTTTTTTTTTTTTTTTTTTTTGTAAAGTTGAGAAACAGCAAATTGAACAATGAAGATGAATATCGATTTCAACCTACAATATCGAGGTTAATACTTACCTGATCATATCATTGACTGAAGGTTACTCGATACTAAAATCAGTAACAACTCCTTAAAGAATACTCAATAGCCAAAATACATTACTTTTTTGTTTATATATTTTTTTAGATGAAAAATTATTATCTAATATTTAAATATAACTTTTTCTAATATATTTAAGGGTTTAATTGAATTTTTTTGATAGTTTAAGAGATACAATAAAACTTCAAAAGAAGTTTCGATACCACATCAGAAAGTTTTGTTTTATTATAGACAACAATTGACAACAAAGGTAAAATTGAAATCATACTAAGCCAAAGGCCTTGTAGCATGATCCCATATACATATATGGGAAATATTTCGATGTGCAATGTATACTGTATGCAAACTTCACACAAAATTGCGTAATTTTTTTTATGAATTTATAGAAGTGATCTCACAAAAATGTGTAAATTGAGCATAAATTCGCATAAGTTTATTAAAACTTACGTGACTTCGTGAATTTACGTGAATTTGTATTCAATTTGCATATGATTGTGAGATCACTTATTTTAAGGCATATATCCATATTTTCTTTTGTATTGTCCATGATACACTAGTTACAAATAACATTTAGCTTGTTTGTTTCTAGTTTTTAGAAAATTTACTTTTTTATTTTTCATATTTTAATGTTTTGAATGAATTTTTTTAATATTTTAAGCATTTTTTTTAATTTTTTGGCACACCTAACATAAGTACACTTAAAAAGTATAATATTTGTGAAAAAAATACTTAAAAAATACATTAAATGCCAAAAAATACAACCAAAAAAAAAAAAAACGAAAATTCAGTATATTTTTTTTATTTATTAATTTTTTAAAATATTTTACTATTTAGATACATCTAAGTGTGCATCTAAAAAAGTAAAAAAATTACTTAAAATTCAAAAAATATTCACTAAAAACAAAAAAAATACAAAAAATAAAAAAAACTCAATTTTCAAAAAACTGAAACCAAACACACTAATTATTATTATTATTATTTTTTTATGTTTCTTGAAATCAATCGTAAAAACTTGCATGAAATATTTTTGTAAAAATCATTATAATTAATAAGTGCCCCTTCTAACTTAATTTTCTAGCTCCGCCACGCTTGCAAAGACAAGAATTGGTGTCCCAATATGTTTTGCAGCAAATTTTTTACTTACGGAGATAATAATTTAGTCTCTAAATCTTTTATATGTTGTAGAGCTTTTTCATTTCATACGCTTCTCTTTCTCAAAAAAAAAAAGAAGCTTTTTCATTTTATCAAGTTTGTGTAAAAATAAAAAAAAAATAAAAAATTAAAAAAATTGAAAAATTATGTTTTAAAAATAGATCAATTATTTCTTTAAGAAAAATACAATAAAATAAAAATGTTATGATTATTAAATTCACTTAATTTTTTTATGGATGATATGCACAAAAGATCTTACATAATGAATGATTTGAATCATCAAAACAGAACTGCAGTGGGTTCTGTTGGAAAATGGCTTTTGTAAACCTTATTTTTATGCTAACTTTGAGCATTATTTAAGGTGGGACCCAAGTGTTATTTTTAACGTTACTGATTGGGTTCATGTTTAAAGTCGCGTAGTGAATAACATCGTGTATTTGGTTACTCAAAACCATTTCTGGATGAATATAGCGATCCCGGTTGTCCCTTTACTGTTCTGTTGTATTCCGGACTCGGTTCCGTGGAGTTGGTAGTGGTATCTATCGTGTTGTTGTCCTTTAATTCCACTAGATTGAGTTTTAGGATGTTTTGAGCAAGGTTGTTACAGGTTGGTTAGGCCTCGGTTTCAATTCCTTGTTGTTCAGTTTTTAGACGATCCGCTCGAGCGGGTCTTCTTGCGCTCGAGCGGGGATTGCATACCTCCAGTATTTCGTGTTCCTGCAAAACTTCTGCAGATGTGATTTTTACGCTCGAGCGGGTTTGTTTACGCTCGAGCGGGTTTGGTGGCGCTCGAGCGGGTTTGGTGGCGCTCGAGCGGGTAGTACCTTCTGGGTATAAGTTCTGGGAGGAGAAAATTTACAGTCGAGCGGAAGTGCTTTATTCTTGTGTCTTGGCGCTCGAGTGGGCCTTATGGCGCTCGAGCATGTCCAGATTTTGTTCCTGGCGCTCGAGCGTTGTGTTCTCCGCTCGAGCGGGTCATACGTATATGAGTTATCCGCTGGGTGATTTTAAATCACTTTTTGCTTTTCTTTCTCTCTCCTACTTTTTCTAAAAACCATTTTTGAGAGCCTCTCTCTCTAGAAACTCCCTTCTCTCTAGGGTTTGATCTAGTTAGAGTGTCCTCCTTCTCTTCGGTCTTTGTAAAAGTTGTGTTGATCGTCGAGGGCATCGTTTTGATCCGAAAATCTTGGTCTTTGAAGCACTTTGGTTTTGGTCTCTTCTCTATCCGAGCTCTAACTTCGAGGTAGGGATATCCTACTCCTCTTTATGAGCTTTGTCTTTAAATTTTAGTATTTTGAGATGTAGTGGTTGGTTGGGTAATTTTGTGAAAGTTTGGGGGCTTTTGTGTAAATTTACAAAGTAGGGTTTTAGCTATATAAAACCTAGATGCATGTTTGCATGAAATGTGAAATTAATGTTAAGACATTATGAAAAGGGAACCTAAGGGTTGTAATGTAAATTATGGAAAATGCCCTAATTACATTGGTTAATTAATTCGTACAATTAATTAGAGAAATAAGAAATGATTTGAAAGACATGTGATGAAAGGGTGTTGGATTATTATCACTCACCTGGTGGAATGTTGATTATATATCCATTGTTGCATTTATTTTCTGCATAGAAATAACTGCTTTGGGCTATCGGTGGAGGATAGTCTTGATTGTTGTAGACGATGCATGATGATTAGGCAAATTGAAACTAATCACTGGATGTTGTCATTGAGTATGACGTTTGAAAAATACATTAATTTATGTGTTATGTGATGATGTGTACAG